ATCTTAATTTTTTTTTAACGCCGAATTTTCCGACACAAACCCGAAAAACATTTCTCAAAAATTATAGGACAACTCAGCGACCATGTCCCTCGTGATAAAAAATGACCAAAAAAAATCCTTCTTTTCTTTTCATTTTTTTTAAATAATTTGTAATAAATTAATAATCATTTTTTTATTTTTCATTTTTTAAAAATCTTAAACCAAGTCGGATTCCAAAATTAAAAATTCAAGCCGTACAACCCTATATTTGTTATTTTCTTTTTATGTATTTTTAGGGGTATAAAAAAATATTAAAAAAACAGGCCGCGGACAGGGCCTCATTGGCCGTTGCCGCGGCCAAATTGCCAGCGGCTGAGGCCGCGGGTGTCACGTAGGCTACTGGTAGTCCGAGCCTCGAACTTGATAGCTGAGCAAGGTACTGGTGGTGGTCTAACCATTCCTACCGTCGTTCACACTATCAATCCTACAAACAAGGTCTGCGGCTGAAATCTCAACTCTACCACAGCAAATGTGACTAGAGCCTATTCCTGTCCTGTTAAATCATACAACTAGAGTCACCTGTGTTGCACGGCGTACATGTACGCGCCCCCCGCGCACACGCGTACACGTATGCACGTGCGCGCGTACGTACCACGTACGTGTGCGAGCGTACGTCAAAAAGAGTCCCGCTTACGTGGCCGTTCCGGGCCGTTTTATGGCCTTCTCGGGGTCGGGGGTTCCAGTGGGGCGTGGGTGGGTGCAGCACAAGACGGGCTGCAAGGCGGGCCGGGGTTAAGATGGGTCTGATGCAAATTTCAAATTCGTGGCGGGACAGCCTACCCCCCTGCCCTGCCTTGCAGCCCAACCTTGTTGTCTCCCCCAAAGCCGCGCACCATGCCGTTCGCAATCCCGCTTGCCGAGGCCGTTGTCGCCACGGAGGGGTCGCCATCACCGTCACCACAGAGGGGTCGCCATCACCGTCACCACAGAGGGGTCACCATCACCGTCGCCACAGAGGGGTCGCCATTGCCGTTGCCGCTGTTGCCAGGGTCGCCGTCGCCCTGTCCATGTGCCACGTCACTCCGTCACCCTGTCCATATGTGTGTTTGTCGGTCTGTCCGTCTGTGTGTAGGCAGCTGTCTGTCGGTCTGTTTGTCAGTTTTTTAGGCAGATGTCTGCCGATGTGTCCATCTGCCTGGTTCTCTTTCCGTTCGTCTATCTGTTTGTCTGTCATGTCTGACTGTCTGTCTGTCAGTCACTCTGTTAAGCAGTCTGTATGTGAAAGTCAAGTTGTCTGATAGACTGTGTGTGTGTGTGTGTGTGTGTGTGTGTGTGTGTCACTTCTGTGTAATACTGTGTGTGTGTGTGTAAAAGTCCTAAGACTATGAAAGACTGAATACATGTGTTCCCCTGCCTGAGGGAAGGGCCCGACACAACAGATACATATTTTTGAAAAAAACAAAACAAAAAAAACATACGCATACGCAGGTTTTTGTCATGTATGCGTAGTACGCGCCTCGTATGCGTACAGGGTGCAACACAGAACCAGACTAAAAAGGTAACTCAAGCACACAACTTATACGATCGGTCTTTTCCGTTTAAATTAAAAAAAAAAAAAAAAAAAAAAAAAAAACA